CAAAATTCCCCGAAATCGTTCATGGCAGCGTTCGCTCTTGAAGCCTTGGTGTGAAGAACTAGTTACGATACCTCTTGCTCTTGTGAGCCGCGTTTTAGACACATTTTAGCACGCCGTCCGATCTTGAGATCACAGCTGGGACATCGGCCTCTTGGGGCCTCTTGGGGGCCTTGGTGCTCAGAGATTGTTACCTTCCTTGGCTGGGCCTTGGTGTCAAGAACTTGTGGGCCGTTTGAGGGCCTCTTCTGGGGCTCTTGGGGGCCTCTTGGGATATCCCGGGGGCCTCTTGGGGGCCTCTTTGGGGCCTCTTGGGGCTTCTTGGGGGTTTCTTGGGGCCTCCTGGGAGCTTCTTGGGGAGAAAGGCTAAACTTTCGGGTTCGTTGTACCCCTCTTGCGGCAGTCTTGGGGCCCTCTTGGGCCGTCTCGGGTGCCTCTTGGGCCGCCTTGGGGCCGTCTTGGGCCGTTTTGGGGGCCTCTTGGGAGCCTCTTGGGCCGTCTTGGGGCGGTCTTGGGGGCCTCTTGGACCGTCCTCAACGCCGTTAAAGCCGAAAAGCCGTGTATGCTAAAAACGGATTTCTTCCATTAAGAAATCGATGATGTTGGCCTCCTCTGGGGGGCCTCTTGGGACGCCTCTTGCGGCTTCTTGGGGGGCTCTTGGGGCCTCCTGCGGGCTTCTTGGGGCGAAAAGCTAGGCTGTTCGGTTCGTGGCCCCCCTCTTGGGGCCGCCTTCGGGCCCTCTTGGGCCGTCTTGGGCGCCTCTTGGGCCGTCTTGGGGCCCTCTTGGGCCGTTTTGGGGGCCTCTTGGGCCGTCTTGGGGCGGTCTTGGGAGCCCCTGGGCTGTCGTCAACGCCGTGAAAGCCGAAAAGTCGTATATGCTAAATATGTACGTTGTCCTATGGGAAGTCCATGATGGTGGCCTCTTGGGGCTCTCTTGTGGCGCCTCTTGTGGGCCTCTTGGGGCTTCTTGGGGGGTTCTTGGGGCCTCCTGGGAGCTTCTTGGGGCGAAAGGCTAGTCTTTTCAATTCGTGGTCCCCCTCTTGGGGCCGCCTTGGGGCCCCCCCTGGGCCGTCTTGGGCGCCTCTTGGGCCGTCTTGGGGCCCTCTTGGGCCGTGTTGGGGGCCTCCTGGGAGCCTCTGGGGCCGTCTTGGGGCGATCTTGGGGACCTCTTGGACCGCCTTCAGCGCCGTGAAAGCCGAAAAGCCGTATATGTTAAACATGCACGTATTTCATGAGACAATCAATGATTTTGGCCTCTTGGGGGCCTCTTGGGCGCCTCTCGGGGCGTCTCGGAATCCTCTTGGGCCGTCTTTGGGCCGTCTTGGGCATGTTGGACCGTCTTGGAGCCGTCTTGGACCGTCTTGAGCGCCCAAGACGGCCCAAGAAGCGCCCAAGAGGCATCCAAGACGCCCCGAGCGGCCATTAGGTCCCATGCCTCCGCCCCTCCCCCCCCTGTGCACTCCCCCTAGAGGGCTTCGCCCAAACACAACGTCATCACTCGTGCCTCGCTCTTTCCGTTATCTCCGCCGCCCCCCGTTGATGTATCACAGGGGTGCCTGGCGTGCTAAATGTCTGATGGTTGTGAGTTCTTTTTGAGACTCCTTCTGGGGTTTCGGTCCATCGCGATGGGGTGACTGTCTCGTCGGCTTGTTTGCTTAAGATGGCCTCAAGACACCTCCAAGACGGCCAAGATGCCTCCAAAACGGCCATGCTGGCCCAAGAGAGCCCGAAATAGCCCCAAGGATGGCCGCCAAGACGGTCCCGAGGTGCCACCCAGACCGCCAAGGTGGTCCAAGGCAGCCCTAGACCCAGAAGCGCCCAAGACGCCCCGAAGATGGCCTAAGGGGTCTCCAAGGGGTCATCCAGGGAGGCCCGAAGAGGCCAACATTGAGCTACAATAGAAATCTGAAGGATGAAGACCGTGGCGTCGATTCGGCCTGCCGGCTGCCCAAGACGGCCTCAAATATTGCCCCAAGATGTCCCCGGAGGCCTCCAAGCTAACCCCGTGATGGCCCAAGAAGCCCCCAAGAGGGCCCCAAGGCTGCCCAAGAGACCCCCAAGACGCCCAAGATGGCCTCCCATAAGGCCCTGAAGCGCCCCAAGAGGGCCCCAAGTCGGTTAAGAGAAGCATCCGAGACGTGCCGTGAGACGGCCAAAGATGCCACCCAAGAAGCCTCGAAGGCCCCCCAGAGGCCCACAGGGGGCCCCCAAGAGACCTCCAAAAAGCTCTCAGGAATCTCCCATGAGGCCCCAAGAGTGGCCCCAGAGGCTCCCAAGATGCCTCCTCCTCCTTCTCCCCTTTTCTCCTGTTCTCCCTTTCCGCCTACTCCTCCGTCTTCTGCTCCGTATCCTCCTCCTCCTCCTCCTCCTCCTCCTCCTCCTACTCCTCTCCTCCTCCTCCTCCTCCTCCTCCTCCTTCTCCTCCTCCTCCTCCGCCTCCGCCTCCTCATCCTCATCCTCATCCTCATCCTCATCCTCATCCTCAGCATCAGCATCAGCATCATCATCGCCATCATCAGCATCATCATCAGCCAGCATCAGCATCAGCATCAGCATCAGCATTAGCATCAGCATATCATCATCAATCATCATCATCATCATCATCATCATCATCATCATCATCATCATCATCATCATCATCATCATCATCATCATCATCATCATCATCATCATCATCATCATCATCATCATCATCATCATCATCACCATCATGGTCATCATGGTCATCATGGTCATCATGGTCATCATCATCATCATCATCATCATCAGCATCATCATCATCATCATCATCATCATCATCATCATCATCATCCCCGACGTGTTCCCCCAAGGGCTTCCACAACGGCTGGGGGAACGCATGGTCCAATAGCGTGGCCAAACGTTGCCCAGATGTTTGGCCTCGTAGGCGTATCCTAAGAGGCGGGGGGGAGGGGGGCGGGGAGGTGATTCGCCGTAGGCGTCTTCGATCCGTTGCTCCCTTCGCATGCGAAGGAATGCCTAGCGTGACGACCTGTCTAGCCCTTCATGGCCGTTCCCAATGGTCTGCGGCGCGATCTATGAGACATCTGAAACCCACCATGAAAGGAAGGCCTCCAACAAGTGTTCCGCCGAAGACGGCTCCAAAAGGATCCTGGTCGCCATCACATCGGCGCAGGATGGCCCAACGAGCCTCCAGGATGGCTGACGATGGACTGCAAGAGGGCCGGAAATGCGCCGCGAACACTGCGCATAATTGCCTCAAGATGGCCCAAGAAGTCACCCCAGACGCCCCAACGAGCTCCAAGAGAGCGCCAGGAGGGTCTCAGGAGCCAAACCATCGATGCCCCGTGTGCTGCTCCATGCGTCGCGTTCTCTTCCGTTCGGGCCTCTGGCAGCCCAAGACATAGCCCAAGACAGCCCACAGGATTGCCCCAACGCTGCCCAGAAGGCCCGAGAGAAAGCCCTCAGACAGTCCAGGAGGGCCCCGACCTTGCCCCAAAATCGGCCCAAGAAGATCCCAAGGCGGCTCTCAGGAGCCCACAGACTCGCCATCGCTCGGACGTCCATTTCCCGTGCATTTTTCGGTTTCGTGCGTGTTTTTTTTGCTCGATGTCCAGGATCGTCCCCAATGGTTCTCGCCGAGAAAAATGCACACGTCAACGCGATGCCAGGCAGAGAGACAGACCCGAGACCACCCGGAGAGGTCCCGAGGAGAGCCGCCGAGGGCGCCAGACGGCCCAAGACCCCGGCCTGTCCAAAAGGGAGCCCTGGGGCGGGCCCTTGGAGACCCCCAGGGTGGCAGGACCGGCCAGAACACTTGGGGCTCTTTTTGGGGCCTCTTCGGCGGTCTCGGGGCGATCTTCGGGGCGTCTTCGGCTGTCGAGCGTTGGAAGTTCGAGAACGCGAGAAAGCGAAAATTTGAAAAAAACTATGGGAAATCAAGGATATGGGCCGCTTCGGGCTCTGTCGGGACGCCTCTCGGAGCTCTCTTGGGGCCTCTTGGAGGGCTCTTGGGCTGTGTACTGGCCGTGTTGGGCCCATCTGGAGCCACGTTGGGGTCAGTCTTACGTCGAGCGTGTCCCCCTACAGGGGGATTTGGGGCTAAATGTGGCAAAATACTCTAAGCAAAAAAAGCAAGGTCAAAATGAAAAAAAATAAGACCGTCCTGGACTGTTTCTTGACTATGTTGTAATGTCCCTCCTGTGGAGGGACAGGCCCGACTTACCCCAAGGAGGCAGAACCGGCCAGAGGAAGACCAAGGACGTCCCAAGACCGCCTCAGAGGAGCCCTCCGAAGTCCTGCTCCCTGTGGTCAACCCAGGCCCAGCGGCTTCAGGAGAATGCAGTCCACCAGCAAGGCCGCACTTTCGCTCGAGATGTCACGAAACGAGCGTTTCCAAAAGGCAAAGGGCCGCGGTGACTCGCCACAGGAGTCTTGGATTCAAGCACACGATCACGACAGATCATACTAGAACCTGCATCTTCCTCCTCGTACTCGTACTCATCATGGCCATCGACGCCGCCGAAGTACTGGCAATATCACATCGACTGACATCGTCGTGACTATGATGCTACGGCGTCTCCTCAATGTTCTGGTTGCGTCCTGCTTGATCATCATCGTCGTCGTCATCTCTCAGTCTCCAAATTCCAGAAGGGGAAGACCGTCTGCAAACTGTCACAACAACAACGCCCGCAAGAGGGTCCCAGGCGGCCTTTTTCGAAGCGAATGCCCGCTAAGAAGAGCACGTGGCCAACAACCATTCAAGTCCGCTAAACACGGACAGCGCCTGTACGAGCCGCACCCCTCAGCGACGGCGCCAAGGGCAAATCTGGAAGCCCCTGCTCCCGCATCCATCCACAACGCTGGCCTCGTGTCACCTGCCTGTCACGCCGGTGAGCTGGGGGCAGACGGAGGGGGGGGTCAGAATGGCTGGCAGCGTGAGCCCTACCCCAGTCTGAGAAAGAGATCAAAACTAGGTGCAGCCGAGACTGCGCTACTAGCACGGCTAGCAACAAACAGCAACATCAAGCTTTCGCATTCAGTAGGGGCTCTGTCCCGTTATCAACAGACATCACGGGTGTTTCTTCACAGAAGCATGGATACGTCAGTACTTTTGCAATGATGCGGAACAGCACGGCCATGGCAGACACCCATGCAACTGTCTCGAGCATGAACTTGACATTTGAGTGAATGGCTTGACACTGTGGCCCACCCGTTGTTGTTACGGTCGTCGTGGTGAATTGGAACTCCTCGTCTGAGAACGGGAACCATTGCTGCTTATAGTACCTGAACGAAAACAAGCTGACCGTTAGTGAAGCCACGATTAAGCGCTGACAGTGACGCCTGATACGGTGTTTCTTCTCGTCCCAGTCGGTGATGCAATTCACCAAGTTCATGGCCAGCATGAAGACATAGAGGGAAAGCTCGGCTTTTTGTCGGTCGCTTGCAGATCCACCAGCCCATGTGGCAAGGACAACGGCGACATCTTCGGTCATCCCAAGCGGTTGGATCATTATCGCAGTCAACCAATCGGGGACAAATTTACGACTGTACATGGTTGTCGCTGGGCCAGACCAAATCATGAAATGCCCTGCCAACACTGCCGTTGCGGCCGCACACTCTGGCGATTTTTTTGCATCCTTGTGTACTGATTCAAATGCTGGTTCCATGAAGTACGGACGGACCCAGAAGGAGAAAGGCAAATAGTCCGTCAAGGCGCTGCAGAATTCCGTGGCGATGAAATGGTTCTTTTTGTCATCCCGCTCTTTGATACACGGGCTCGTGACCCAATAAAGAATCGCGTCAAGCATGGGCAATACGGCGCCTGCAGGTGCGCTGCAAATCAGAAGGTAGAAGACTCCCTTCCAATCCTCGCCTTTGGGCTGCGACACCGCAATGAGGTACGCGAAGGCGGGGGATGTGAATGGAAGCACATTGCTGACAGCAAGTCGCAATACCATCATTAGACAAATGCTCAAACCCCTCATCCACCACGCCATTTCCTTATTCAGCTCAGCCCAGCCCAGGAAGGTATTCTGTGTCCAACACTTGATCTCCAATGAATGTTTCTTGAGCATGACAGCAGCCGCACCAAAGACAACAAGGAAGAAGATCTTTCGAAGAGTATGTTGCTTCAAAGCCGCAGGTGTCAACGGGGCCAAAAATTTCTTCATCGCACCTTTCGCGGTTCCCGTGTTTCCCGGTGCCTTCCATAACGCCTCATCGGGCGCATAGATCAAACTGGACCCATGGTGAAGTATGGGGCCAAGAATCTGACTGAAAATAACGGTCCCTCCTTTTTCATACAGCCCATTCCGTGTCTCCAAAATTTCACGACGTAATGCCTCACGCTCCCCCTCAGGATCCGGCGTGGTGATACGTTCTGATGCCATCCTTGGACGTGCTGCCCTCGCGACGGACTGCCTCGCGCGTCGGCGGGCAAGCGGGTAAGATTACCTTGCGCGGCAAAAGGTGGTGGGACCCCTTGAGCCAAACTTGGCACGAACGCCAGGAGAAACACGAGAAAGCGGAGGAAGAGGTTGGAAGTGACGCCGAGCCCAGTCATCGCGCGCAAGCCCCTGGGACGCAGAAAGTGAAACTGCTTGGGCGGTGCGCGGACAAACCCTGAGCCCGAGGCCTCGCATGCCGAAGGAAGGATCGAAAGGGCAAGGATGCAGGGGCACCCTTTGGAAATCCCACCAGCCCTCTGGGCGCAAATGGTCTAACAAGATGCATCTTCCCTCTTCCAATGAACCCCTCTTCCCCTACGGGGAGGGGTTTACCCCGCCCCTTGTTGGCCTCATTGATCTCCTCCTTTGATCGATGGCCTTCAAGATGGCCCCAAGAGGCCTTCCAGGGCTCCCAAGAGGGCCCCAACAGAGCCCCAAGAGGGCCCCAAGAGGGCCCCAAGAGGGCCCCAAGACCCCCAACAGAACCCCAAGAGTGCTCCAATACCCGCCAAAAGAGCCCCAGGAGAGCTCCAAAAGGCGATTTTGAAGGCTCCTGGGAAGGGGCCGAAATCGAGGACCCCCCATCTTTTGATCGATGCTCTCCTAGATGGCCCCAACAGGCCTTCCAGGGCACCAGCCGCAGCAGCGGAGATCTCTCGGTTCATCCTGGTTGCTCGCTTTGTTTCCCCAGATGTGTCCCTTCGTCCCTTTTCCCGTCAGCTCTCGTGGGCAAGGCTTCTGAATGGGCTGGTGGGATACGTTTTTTGTCGCGGCCGCGGGCGAAAACGCACGCGGCGAGTCGTAAATCTGGGGCGCGGGCTTACTAATTGACAACAGCAAACTAGAGCCGACAACCTAAACTGCCTAAGCGGACTAAGCGGCGCCTCGCGCGAGAGAAGGGCTGGTGGGAGACTTTTTTTGGTCAGCGGGCTGACGCGTAAAGCAGTCGCCGAAAGGGGGGTCCGGGGCACGTTCCAGCCTAGCTGGTGGGATAATTGTTTTTCGGTCGCGGCCGCGAACGAAGCGCGCAAGCGGCGAGAAAAGTTGTCCGGGCCGACGGGCAAACCTAATTAGCTACAAGACGCGCCGCAGGCCGGCCGGCCCACTCACCAAGCAACAACGGGGGTGCGCGGGAGGCACTGGTGGGATACGTTTGTTTGTTTTTTCCCCAACCATCCTGTGGTGTTGGGTCCTCGTTTTGAAAAGACGGTGCCCCGCGTCCTCCTCTCCTCTCCTCCTCCTCCCCCCTCCTCCCTCCTCCCTCCTCCCTCCTCCCTCCTTCCTCCTCCCCCTCCTCCCTCCTCCCCCATCCTGGCTTTTGCTCTCCGCATGTCTCTGTTTCGGCACACCCTTCACACGCTTCGTGGCCCCATAGGGAGCTCCACCTAAGGTCCCAGTGGCGGAACTCGCATGGCGCCGCCGCCCCATTTTGGCACACCCCTCGCACGTTTCGTGGCCCCATAGGGAGCTCCACCTAAGGTCCCAGTTGCGAAACTCGCATGGCGCCGCCGCCCCATTTTGGCACACCCCTCACACGCTTCGTGGCCCCATAGGGAGCTCCACCCCAGGTCCCGGTAGCGGAACTCGCATGGCGCCGCCGCCCCATTTTGGCACACCCCTCACACATTTCGTGGCCCCATAGGGAGCTAGCTCTACCTAAGGTCCCAGTGGCGGAACTCGCATGGCGCCGCCGCCCCATTTTGGCACACCCCTCACACGTTTTGTGGCCCCATGGGGAACTCCACCTAGGGTCCCAGTGGCGGAACTCGCATGGCGCCGCCGCCCCATTTTGACACACCCCTTCACACGTTTTGTGGCCCCATAGGGAACTCCACTTGGAGGGTGAAAGTGGGGGTCGGCCGCAGGGTCCCGGCAATGATGTCTTTATGGGCCATGAATGGGCGATGCATCCTCGATTGCTGCGTTCGGCGGGGGAACTAGTGGAAGCCCCCCGCCTGCACCCATGCGCGAGACTTGAAAGGGAAGGAAGCAACGGGGGCGGGGGGCTCGGGAAAGGCGACAAAAGGCAACGTGCGCTGAGGGCGCAAAAAGAGGCTGGAACAAACGAAAGCGGTCAGGTGAGAGTCGAAATCTGCCCAGCCAATCTGACATGCGGAACAAAACGCCTCAGCGTTGGGGATCTTGAAAGCCAGGGCAACATGTGAATTCACATAGTGGGGAAAAGCAAAATGTGAATTCACATTTTGGGAAAAAAAGGAAAAGGTGAATTCACATTTTGGAAAAAAAGGAACATGCGAATTCACATGTTGGAAGTTTGTGTAAGATTATTGATGAAAGGGGCCAGAATGTGAATTCACATTTTGGGAGAAAGGAAAATGTGAATTCAGATTTTGGGAAAAAAGGAAGATGTGAATTCACATTTTGGAAGAAAAATGGGCCCCATTCCAAATCTGTCTTGGGGGTCGAGGAGTCATCGTTTGGGAACACGCACGATCACCAATCGCACAATCAAGACACACTTGCACTCCACTTCGCTGCCCCACGCGCAATATGCAAGAACCCCCGCACGCACGAACGATAATGGATGGACGGCGCGTGCGCCTGCGCGGGCAACGCGCGGGCACGAACGACTGGCCCTCAATGACCGCCAACATTGGATGCCAATCGTACCCGTTCACATACATGAGCGATATATTGAGCAGACATGGGCCATGCAGCCCCCATTGAAGACCCCCTGTTGCAGACCCCCTCTTTCACCCTCCAATCAACCGAAAGTCCCAATTGCGGAACTCGCATGGCGCCGCCGCTCCATTTTGGCACACCCCTCACACGTTTCGTGGCCCCATGGGGAGCTCCACCTAGGGTCCCAGTGGCGGAACTCGCATGGCGCCGCCGCCCCATTTTGGCACACCCCTCGCACGTTCGTGGCCCCATAGGCAGAAACTCCACCTAAAAATCAGTGGCGGAACTCGCAGGGCGCCGCGGCCCCATTTTGGCACACCCATACGCGCGTCGTGGCCCCATAGGGAGCTCCACCTAAGGTCCCAGTGGCGGAACTCGCATGGCGCCGCCGCCCAATTTTGGCACACCCCTCACACGTTTCGTGGCCCCATAGGGAGCTCCACCTAAGGTCCCAGTGGCGGAACTCGCATGGCGCCGCCGCCCCATTTTGGCACACCCCTCGAAGGACCAGGATGAAGGATGAGGACGACAAGGAGGAGGAGGAGGAGGAGGAGGAGGAGGGGGAGGAGGACGAGGAGGACGACACGCCGCTGCGCTTCGAGCTCCAGGCGTCCAACCGCTTCAAGAACCCGAAACTCAGGGACCTCATGGCGTTCCTGCGCAAGCCGGGGAAGCAGGCCCCGCCGGCCATCCGGGCCACGTGGAACGCCATGCAGCTGAAACCCGATGATCGTAGACTCCGGGAGGAAAGGTTCAAGAACAGCCACATGATTGGGTCCTATTGGGACACCGTGGCGCGCTGGATGAAGATGCGTGCCCAGCGGGGCGCGGACGTCCTGAAGAAACCTCTCTTCCTCGTGCAGGCCGCCGACAGGTCTGCCCCGTCGATGAGCAGGAAGGACGCCGCCAAGATGATGAACTGCGCCAACCCGAAGAACACCGGCGGCATGCACGGACTGCTCCTGGTGCACGTGGGCATGCGGATCCGGCTCCTGGAGGCGCTGGACCTCAAGAGCGGCCTCGTCAAGGATGCCGAAGGGCAGATCGCGCACATCGTCGTGGACCCTCGAGATCGGGACGACGTAGACAAGGCCGAGAGAGACGGGGAGAGAAGGATCTATCTGAAGCACTTGCCGCTGGGGTTCTGGGTGCGCATGGAGAAGTACGCGAGCGCGCCCTTC